ACTGAGATGGGTTTTGGTTACCTGAAGCTGAAGGAGTTCTAACTGGCCCCAGGGACCCTGTGAATGGAGAGAGAGGTGGGGCAGGGGGTTCCAGGAATTTTCGCCAAAAGTGCTCTTGCCACAAGCAGTTTCACCGCACAACTAATTAGCCATACAGCGATTTTGCCGTAAAAGATAAAATCACGAAAAGTAAAAAGACGGACATTCAAAAGGACATAATGAAACATGAAAAATTACTAACAAAATTAAAAAGACTCAGCTGAGAAAAGTGAAAATGTAAAATATTTGAATACAAATATTGGAATATTTAAATATGGTGTAGATTCATGCACAGCAATACTGTGCAAAGAATGGATTTTATTTTGTGGATTGTTACATAAACACTTTGTCTTCTAAGTCTTTTGCTCATAGTATTATACAATTTTTTTTTGGCTTGTTGATTCATCTCGTCGTTTGGCATCTCGCACTTTTTTCTTTTTTTCCCTAATATATCTTCATTAAGAGAGGGATCAATTTCATCCAAACACTGGGATGCATATATGTAACCAAATGAAACTAAAGAAAAACCATATGAACCAAACGAAAACCATTTGCAACCAAATGAGACCAAAACTATCAATCAACCAGTTATTTCATCTCGTATGGCAAAATTGCCTTTATGGCCAATTAGTTGTGCAGCGAAAATGTTTGTGGCAAAGATGCTTACAGTGAAAACACTGGAGGAGGAAAAGCAGGGAAGGGCCAGGAGGCAGGAAAATGGTTTTCAGGCTGACTTTCCTCTCACTGGCTGCCTGTCCTTGCAGGCGAGGACGCTGTGGGGGTGGTGACTTCAGTGTCTGTAAAAAGCTTCCTGTTTCAGCAAAGGCCCCCGCTCTCTGGGGGCAGAGTCTGACACAGCCAGAAGGAACAGCCTGAAGACACAGAGACTTGCTTTAAGGAGGGAGGGAAAGCCCTGTGCCTGGCCACGTTCTCAGTTCAGAACGGCTCAGGAGGCCGTGGGTCTGGAGCCGCGCTCCTCTTGGGAGGATCCCGGCACTGGCCCAGGGCTCTAGGAGAGAAAGTCTCTGGACATGAAACCACCAGGTGGCACTCAGATGTGGGAAGCACAAACAAATGCCATCAAGTCAGCCGCCTGGCGCCAGGTCTCACTTTCAGGACCCCCAAACCCTCCCCTTCCTCCTGTGGGGGTACCAGCCACTGCCCGGACTGCACAATGTGCACCAGCCTTCCCCCACGGCAGCCCCTGAACTGTGAGATCCGAAGGTGCTGAGTGGCGCTGGAAGGAGTGCCTGCTTATCTCTCTGCGCTTAGAGAGAGGAGGTTTTCTTTTAAGTAGCATGGCATTGACAGTCTCATGCACCAAGCTTTCTGGGGGTTGAGAGCCCAACAGCTGACAGTGATTTATTTCCAGAGGAGGGTCTAGTTGGTAAAGGACTTATTTCTGCACTTGTGCCTTTCTCCAGATGAGGCAGTCATCGCTGGTGAAAGAGAGAGGACAGTCCAGATGGAACTGCCTGGAAACATCACACCCTCTCCCTGATTTGGAGCTGACTCACTGGACCCCCACCGACCACCTCATCCCCTCCTTCCTCTGCTGTACTCACTTCTCAGGCTCCTCTGCAGCCGGGACACTGTGGAGCTCAGCTTTGGTTAGTAAGATGCCAGCGTGAGTCCTTGGGGAAGGTTTTCTTCCCAAAGGAAAAGACAACCTTTCAGGAAAAGAAGGCATTTGGATGCAGTGCCTGGAGCTGCAGCACCCGTCCTATGACCATGAAGCTGAAACCACATGACAAGAATGGTGGAGCAGAGAGAGGCAGGAAGCCTGGGGCCCTGAGACTGTCTAGAGCCCTGCACCAGCCGTGGCCCACCTACCTCAGGACTCCCTGTTATAGATGCAGCAGCGGCCGCTTTCTCATTTGAGCCCCTTGCAGCCTAATGCTATTCAGGACACATCTTCCTTTGGGGGCTTATATCATGGCTTTCTGTGGTTGCTTCCTTTCCCTGGCCTTGTAAGGGCTGAGAAGAGAGGCTGAATTTGTTCCCCTGGTGGGCTCCTGACATCCTCTCAGCCTCTCACCATCATCCCCAACAACTGGGTAACAACGGCTGAATGGCTAGGATCTGGTGTCTGCAGAAAGGCCCCTGCAGGCTCTGCTGTAGGGCAGGAAGGAAGGAAGATGCCCCGGAGGAGCCCTGGAGTTGGCTTCCTCTGGTGATGGGTTCCCTCGACAGCGTCTACCCTCTTCCTCACCTACAGCAGGTCCTTTTGGGGAGACGCTGGGCACTAATGGTGGCCAGAGAGGGAGATACTCAAAGCCTTTAGGTTTATCTTTGAAACAACATTTAAGGATCAGGGGACAGGCCTGGCTTCGGGGCAGGCAATGCTGTTCCTAGAGGTGAGCAGCAAGATAACTGATGACTCCAGTGAGTAGAGGAACCGTCTCGTGATGGTCTCTTCATAATTAAGTGGTGCTGTCCCTGAACATGTCAAATGAAAAGTGAGCAAATGTGGAGAGGGGGCAGAAAGGAAGAGGAAGGGAAAGAGGAAAGGCGAGAGGACAAGGGAGGGGCGAGGGGATCGAAGGTTGGAAGGGAAGGACAATGGTTCAGCACCCAGGGAGGAGGGTGTCACTGCACTGGGGGACAGACAAGGGGACAGGCCGGGGGGTCACCTGGCATCCCTTAGGCCATGCAGCAAGGAAGTGGCAGCGCCCAGGCCTCTCTGTGCCCGACGACACGTTCCTACAATGTATGCTTGCTCTGCTATGCCGACGACATTCCTTCAGCAGCCCCAGCATCTTTGCTCAGGCCCATTTTGTCCCCTGGTCCTGGCCTCTGGACATCACACATGGAAGTCCACCTCTCTCATGGGTCTGTCCATCTGTCTGTTCTTCCAAGTTGGAATACTTGCTCTCCTCCTGTATGGGGCTCGTGCCTGCTCAGCGCACACCCTGCCTGTACGGTGGCTTGATGGGGTTGCCTGTCTCCTGAACAAGGTGGTGAGATCCCAAGGCAGGGACACTGTCATCTTTGGGTCCCCCAAACCTGGATGTAACAGGTGCTTAACACACATTCAGTGAACTGACCCTTGGTACTCCCCACCCCCAAACAAAGACTGCAGTACCACTCTACTGCAGGCCAACGTGAGATGTGGGGAACAGGGCTGCACCTACCAGCTCGGCGAGGTGGCAGAGGGGACATGTTGGTAGCAATACTTAAAGCTCAAAGTCTGCAGAGCATTTGTGTTCTCTCCAGTGTGAGGACCTGACATGCCCCACAGAAGCTATGCAGCCCGTGGGAGCCACTTATACGTGCTTCACTTCTGCTTGTGCAGAAGGTGGCACCACAGCTCCTGCCCTGCGTGGGTCATGAGGGTCAATGTGCAGCCTGGGCCACAAGAGGCAGGGACCAGCACAGCTCCGAGGAGTAACCCAGTGGGCGGAGCTTCAGGAGCCCACGCCACAGCCGCACAGCACCCAGCACTGGGACCAGAACCCACTTTTGGGAAAAACAAGTCTTCAGAAGGGAAACTACTCACGTCTCTGCAACACTCCTCTGAGATGGGCTGCGTGAGACCCCCTCCACATTTGTCCTTCTGTCAAAGGGAGCCTTCATGTTTGCCTTGAAAACACCAAAGAGCTCATGCCTTCTGTGAGGAGGGCCTGGGTGTCTGATTCCTGTGCTCAGCAGCCAGAGATGCCAGCCCTGGGACTTGTCTCTCCCTGACCCAGGAACTCTCTGAGACCAGACAGGGAGGCCCAGCTCCTGGCCTGGATGCCAGGTCCTGAGAAGGGCCCCTCCCACCTCCCAAGAGCTGCAGGAACCCACTAAGAAAAGCCAAAACCCACGAGGGAAGTGCCTGCATTTACTAGCCAAAAAGCTAAGAGACAACAGAAAAGGCAAAACGCCTCCAAGGCCGTAACGATTAAATATTTTTTTCTGTGGCCAAAGTGAGAAGTCTGTAAATAATATAGAAAAAGGCACGACATTCCCAATACAGCTGGCTGCAGCCCTGCTCTCCTTTTCCTTCCGGACTCACATCTCTGCCTGAAGAGTCACCACAGGTTTCCGGGAACTGCACCCAATGGCAGGGACCCTGAAACTAGTCAGTCCTGCCTGTCCTTTAGTCTCCTGGGAGATTCTCTGTCTAAACCAGAAGCAAGTGACAAAAAGAAGAGTTTCCCCTCTTTGCTCAGCTAGTCACACATCCATCAGTAGCTAACATGAGAGAACAGCAACCATTCCAAACAAACTCCCTCCATTTCCACAGCAGACACATAATGCATTGACTGAAGACATGCCTCACCTGAGTCTATCTCACTGGTGGTTGGAAGTGTGCAGTGCACAGCCTGTGGGGCCAGCCTGGTGAGCCCGTTGCAGCATTGAAATGGCTACTGGCAGGAAACTCACTTGCAACGATTTAAAGGGAAATATCGATCTTTTGATCCAAAAGCTATTCTAGGGGAGATGTTGGCAAACTTTTTCCATAAACTGCTAGTTAGTAAATATTTTAGTCTTTGCAGGCCACACAATCTCTGTGGCTGCTTCTCAACTCTGCCATCATAGTGCAAATGCAGTAGCCACAGACAATATGTCAATGAATGAGTGGCTGTGTTCCAATAAAACTTTATTTACAAAAATAGGCGGTGAGCTGTAGTTTGCTGACCCCTGCACTAGAGGTGCTTTTTTAAAAAAACTTACATCTAAGTTATATCCACATAAAATATGCATACATGTCAAAGGGAACAACAGTAAAGGCTATCTAAGGGTGGTGGAATTATTAACTTGCTTCATATTTTAAATTAAAAGTTATCTTTGACATTGTTATTTTCAGTGATGTCATTTATGCATGCATATGGTAGTTTTATATAAAACCCATCACTACTGAGTGTGCACTGGTGTGCCTCCCAGGGAGGGCTCACATTCCCCCTCCTGGTACCCTCCTGTGCACCCCCCCCTTCCTCCAGCGTGCATTGTCTCTCAGGTGGCGGCAGGCATACCTTGTTCTCTTTGCTGATCTCTCTGCTCCATAGACACAAGGGCAGAGAAATGCGCTTGATCATAGGCAAGAACCAGAGGTGAGCAGTGGCATCTGTTGGGAGGTACCTCCAAGGGCAGGTAAATCCCTCCGAACGGGATCGGAGCAAATGCTGCAGACACAAACAAGGATGAGGGCGTGTGGAGCTAGAAGAAACACGGATGGCATCCCTTACCACCCTGGTGGGGGGTGTGGGTGACGGGGCAGAGGGAAGGAAGGGCAGTCTCAGGCTGCAGCCCTAGGTGACAGCTGCCCCACTCTGCAGCAGAGGGTCCTTGCTGTAAGCTGGGTGTGCTCGCCTGGTGATGGATGAGGACGCACAGGCTTGCAGGGGCCAGGCTGTTTAGACTCCAAATCCTGTGCATGCCCAGGGGACCCCTCACCCCTGCCTGCCTCCCTGGGCAGAGTCCTCCTGGTTTGTCCCTGTGCCCTATGAAGCTTCCCCCTGGGAACAAGACGGTCAGGGCTTAGGGGATTCTGCTGTGATCTGCCCAGGACAGCCTGCTGCTGTGACACCCACACAGGTGATCAAAAGAGCTTGCCTGAGATGGTCAGCGATGATGTGCACTGAAGGCTGCCTGGAAACCCACACTTTTCTGGGTGTATTTCTTCCTCTCCTTGTGTTCATGAAAGTATTTGCATATAGAACAACATTTATGCTCCTTGAGAGCTTGTTTGTTCTATATTTTGAGAAGCTCAACAGAAAGCTTCAGAACCAAGTTGTGAGTCAAATGGGAAATGAGAGACGGGGATTGGCTCCTTTAGCGACTGGCACACAATCTTATTCATTTCCTTTTTCCCTCAAAAAGGGGAAAAAAGCCTAAATCCTCACTGAAATACAGTAATTTCTGGAAATATATGCCCTGACACAGCATCTGCTTTTTAATCATAAAGCACCTTGCCTCTTGGCCTTGGAGTCAGTGACTCAGTGCTCTTCTTTGGGCTGAACGCAGGGACCATCAACCTCAGTGATGTCGCTGGTGACCCTTAGGATTCCTTGCTCCACCCTCGCTTCGCTACATTGGTGACTGCGGTTCTGCCCATGGCTGAGAGGCATGCTGAGTCCACCTTCGAGAGAGATGCATCCTCGAGCACAGGCAGAATGGAAGGAAGTGTGTACTCTGCCCCACAGGATCTAAAGGGTACAGGGCCGTGTGCCCAGGGATGCTGATGAGAGTCCTGCACCCAGGAGCTGCAGACCTCAGCAGGCCCATGTCGCTGGGAGGTGGTGCTAGGCATGACCGATGTACTCCCGGCTCCCTGCCCACTCTGATAACCACGGCCTCATACGACTTTCCCTGGCAGTTGTGATTTAGCATGAAGAACCTCATCGTAATCTGTACAACTCCCCGGAAGACCCACAACTTTCGTTAAGGCACAGGTTTAAATTTAAGTTGGGCTGAGGGGATAAGTCACTGGTCGACTCACTGTCCAGCATTCACCTAGCAAGGAAACCTTCTTGAGAAGTGACGAAAGGGGAAACATGACATCAAAAGAGAACTGGCTTGTGCTGGTGATAGAAGTGAAGGGGAAGTGGAAACATCTGCGAGTGGGCTGTGAAGTGGGAGGTCTGCTCAATGAGCGGCAGGGGCAGTTGTGTTGGGGGTGACCTTCCTGGTCCGCCATCACTGGCTCCCCTTTACCCTCCTCTTCAGAGAGCATAGCTGTCCTGTGGGTTGTGAGGGCAGCCCTGCCTCCTGCTCAGCAGAAAGGCTGGAGGGCGGACACGCTGAGTGCTCCCTGCCAGGGGGTTGACCCTGGTTCCTCCAAGGCCTTAGCCAAGGGAGGGGGGCACACTGTGTAGCCTCTCTGAGCTTCAGTTTCCCGTCTGTAAAGCAGGGAGGGCAGTGTCCACCCCAGGAAGTTGTGGTGAGGGCTGAGGGAGAGAATGTGCACGAAGGGGCTGTAGGGGCTGCACAAACCAGCGCTTGGCTCAGGGAGGGCAGGCCATAAGCAGCCCTTCCTGTCCTCTCCTCCTTCTCCCCAGTCCTGATTCCACCAAAGCCTTGCCCAGCGACTTCAAGCTTTCTGTCTTCCTTTTTTTTCTCTCTCTTTAACACTTAACGGAGCCTCAGGAGGGGCATGAGGGGACTGGAGTCTCTGAGAAGCCCTGGGACAGAGCTCCGCTCCCCTGGACAGCGGGGGCTGTCTGCCGCTCAGGCACCACGGTGGGGCAGGGAGCCCCTGGGGTTTAGTCCTCACCCTCACTGGGCCAGATTTCCCATGGCTGCCTGCTGGTGACACACAGGGTGGATAGATGGCCAAGAGTAATCCCTCCTGCCACCGGGGAGGAAAAAGAAACACGTGGAGTCGAGGAGAAACAAGGAGAAATAATATGGTCTTTGTCCACGCAGAGTAAGGCTCTGAGGCCTTCTGGGAGCTCAACCCTTCTGCTAGGCTGTCTCTTCCTTAATTGGGATGTTAGTGTTCTGGGTCATGAATAAAATACATCTATTTCATTACGTGTAAACCTACCTTCTCCGCCCGAGTCCCTCAACATCGTATCTGCTACAACAACGATCGGTCTTCTTAATATATGGGCTAGGACAAAAACATGGAACTCTTCCAGACTCTCGTACACGGGGTCCTCAGAGTTGTCCACGCTAGGAGACAAATCAAAATGAGCCTGTCACTGGACTGGGTTAGGATGGGGGATGTTGAAGACAGAACACCACCCCTCAGGATCTTACCTCCATGGACCCTGGCCGTTGCAGCCATATGAGGCCACCTCCCTCCCATGCCACCCACCGATGGCTAACGCACAAGACCCACTCCCACTCCTACCCTGGGTTGGGTGGTCTCAGGAGATGATGAGACAGAAGCTGCTGGTGATGGCCGCGAGCCACCTTTAAGACGAGGTCTCCCTGGTGGCAGAAGCAGCCCACCCAGAGCGTGTAGTGACATAGGGGCTGATTATCTGGGGGCGCTTAACAAGGACACAGTGGGGCAGGAGGGATGGAAGCTTCCCTTTGGTTCATTCCCTCATCCAGCATCTTGGGCTGAAGTCTTACCCATCATGGGCACAGGCATGCCCAGCCCACGTGATGGGCTGATGGGGCCCACTGCTAACAGGATCTGAGGGGCTTTCTAGAAATACTCACCCCATAGAAGAGGGCAGTGAAAAGGCTGCCTGGATTCAACCCTCGGAGCGAGAGGAGAGGGAGTGACTCTGAATGCACAACCCAGGCTACTCGGACCCTCCCCGGCCTGCAGCCCTGGCTCACGTCTCAGGCTCAGGGAAAGAGCAGGCTCCACGAAGTGCTTTCACTCAGAACCTAAGACATTTGGGCAAAAGGCTGGAGCCTTGCTATCCCTCAAAAATCAGGCCACCCCAAGGGAAGAGCACATCGAGACAAGAAAGCCAGAGCTCACAGCTTGGTGGGGCCCCTGCAGCATCTGCAGTGCCAGCCGAGGTGGTAGTGCCCAGACAAGACCCCCAGGTGGCACTGGGGCTTGTTCCTGGGCACTGGGGGGAGTGGGGCATGCCCAGATTTAACTGAGGGAGGTCTCTGAGGACTGGACCTGATAGGTCCAGAGCCAGCAAATGTGGCTCCACTTGATATTACAGGATGGGTGGCCTGGGAAACAGCTCTACACACGTAGCCTGCAGCCACAGCTGCTAAATTACTTCTAGAACAAAGGCTATGAAGCCTCAGGATGCATCATAATCACCTGTGGAGTTTAATTGTTGTTGTTATTGAACCTATTTTTTCTTGTTTGTTTATTTTTTTGGTGACTCAATATACTTTACTTTCATACTTAAAAAAATTTGGCAGCAACCAAAAGATCACAAAAGAGTTGCACATATAGTATAAATAACGTTTTTCTTGGGAATCATTTGAAAATAAATTGCCAGCCTGAAATCTCAACACCCCGGAAGAGTTTAGTGCACATTTCCTATGAACAGTTCATTCTCCTACATAACCACAGCATAGCCGTCTAAACCAGGGATCCGTCTAGTCACTAATACACCAATACATCTAACCACCATGACGGACCCCAGTCTCAGTCCACCAACTGTCCCGATAATACCTTTTAAACAAAGATCCTAGCTCAGGACGGCATGCTGCACTTAGTTGCGGCATCTCTTTAGACTCCTTCCATCTGGGACATTTCTCAGGGTTTCCTTGACCTTCACGACCTTGGCGTTTTTGAAGACTACAGGCCGGGTACTTTGTAGAACATCCTTAGTCTGGGGTTGTCCATTTCCTCACAATTAGATTAGACTCGTTTATGCTGTGTCCTTCTCACGGTGTCCTATCAGGTGGCATGGGCCTGTGGGCTGTCCCATTACTGGTGATGTCCACTTGGGTCACTCCATTAGGGCCATCTGCCAGGCTCCCCTCTACAGAGCTACTCATTTCCTTTCTGTAATTAATAAGCATTTTGTGGGGAGGAATTTCAAACCCATGCACATATTCCACTCCTCACAAAAACTTTTATATATTGATTGATATCACTATGGATTCCTAATTTCTATTTCATTCAATGGGTTATAATTCATTAGTGTGATTATTCGATGCTCAGATACACCCTGGTTTGGTCATTGTGGCTCATTCGAGCTGGATCTGTGTCCTTCTGACATCCTCCCAGCATTTTTTAGAGCACTTCCTTGCTTTCCGGCACAAGAAGATGGTCCAGGTTCATCTTGCACTTTCTCTGCTTCAGCCCCGGATTCAGCCGTTTCTCCAAGGGGCCTTGTTTGTTTGTTTTTTTTTAAATAGTAGATAGTGGTGTTTAGAAGCCAAAATACGATCATTGCTATTGGGATGTCACTGCTTCTAGACTCATTCAGCAAATAGAGCTAAGGGATGTGTCTGTGTGTACTATGTGTACGTGTATACACACTCACACGTACATAGATATTTTCATCTGTCATCTATCAGAAACTTTTGAGTCCACTGATATCTCCAATTCTATTCTAACACCCCAAAGTTCATTCTATTTGTAACTCCCTTCTCTCATAGCGAGACACCTGGTTTCTATTAATCTAAAACTATTTCCTTATTTATGAATCTCCCTGTGTGTAAGAAATCCTCCCCCGTTGCCACCCTCCCCTTGAGAGGCCCCCTTCGCCCTGTCTGGTTTTGACACCCTGGCTATGGTCCTGTGTCTGCAGCCCCTCACCTGCCCACTGCAGATGCCAACCTTGCTTTGCTGCCCCTTCTGGCTTTAGGACTGAATTTTTCAGGAAGGAAAGAGAAGTGGAAGAGAAGTGTTTCAAATCTATACATATATGCCAAATCTAGACACAATTCTCCTGCATTTTAAAACATTCCAGGTGATTATCCTGTCCAGCCACAGCTAAGAGGGAAGCCGCTGGGTGTGTGAGGTCACGTGCTCCCAGAAGTTGCTTGCTGTCCCTGTCACACAGTAAGTGCTCACAGGCAAGTGGATGGCTGAACAAGATAATAAGCAGCACAAAGAGGGGAGAACAGTGAGTTACCACTTGCACACTCAGAGAGAAAAATATCCTGACTAGAAATGTGGAGTGCTGTTCCTTTCCTAAACCAATGGATGGAGACATCAGCACTGGAAAAAAGATGGGCTGTCAATGAGCCAGATATAAACACTGAAAAGAAGAAATGGCAAGGTGAGGGGTGGCCCTCAGCCCTGGTTGTCAGTTGCACCTTCACTCTCTGATAGAACACTCTGGCATCTGAATAGCTACGCAGAAGGGGCCCCACAGCAACCACAGTGCAAAGACTGACTAAGTATTAGACACCACTGTACTGGCACAGCATCCTGCTCATGCAAAATTTAAAGCAGGACCATTGTATTTCAAACTGAAAATACCAGCAAGTATTTATTGAGCACTTACTATATGCTGACATGGTGAAACGAACTGCAGAGGCCCTCAGGTAACATCTGTCCATTCATAGGTCTGTTTATCCACCCACCCACCCATCCATCCATCCATCCATCCACCTGCCCACCCATTTACTCTTCCATTCATCCATTCATCCATCCATCCACCCACCCACCTGCACATCTATTCTTCCATTCACCCATCTGTCCATCTATCCATCCACCCACCCATTCATCTGCCTGCCTGTCCATCCCCAGTTCTGTGTTAGGGCCAGGACATGGATTTGGGCCATGTACAGCTTGGGCCCTCATGGCTGAACATGGGCAACAGTGGTGGGGGTGGTGGGCCCAGTTGGGAGGGCATGATGGAGGAGAGCATGCAGAATAGTGACCTTTCGCCACACCAGTCTTGGGGTTGAACATCAGAGCTAAAGATCAACTGTGAACCTTCAGTCACTCAGGAGGTAGCAGAGAGGGTCCCAACTCCACTCTGGGGCAGCTTGAGAATCATAATGCCCTTCTCTACCTGCTTCCCGCTCCTTGCTCACAGGGTTTAGGGAGAGGGTTTGAACTGGGGGTGGGTCCTCATTCTGCACTCACCCCTCAACACCATGGCCATGCCCCAGTGCTTTTGGAGCCTTGGCGTCTGTTCCTGTTCTGTTGAACGCAGGCTGAGAACGTTGGCTCAGCAACTCCTCAGGATCCTCTGAGAGGCAAATGGGATCAGGCTTGGGACGAGACTCTGCACGTGTGAGTTGCTGCGATCTAGCCCGTTGGTAGAAATCAGCCCTTGCGAAACCGATCCTGAAACCAATCCCACTTTTCGCTCCAAGGCTTAACATCATCTTCCTGTGAGCTTACTGAGCAAATGCTAGACCTGGGGTTGTAAACAGAATCTGGCCTCTGGGAAAAGACATTCAAAAATCCCTGAAACACTTAAATACTAACACTTGGTTAAACATTAAAACACTTGGTGTTTACAGAAGAAGACTAACATGTAATACTTCATCCTCAAGGAGACTGTGCATGTCCAAGAACTTCCTAACATGCTCTGTGCCACAACATATGGGTTCTTCAGGGTGCCCATCACCTCTTCTTCAGTGTGTTCCCGGGGAGGGAGAATTCCCGGGAATAGGGATGCACTATCCACCCAGTGAAAACACCCGAGGAAGACAGAGGTGAAAGTTGACCTGGGTAGAGGCTGGGCCGGGAGTCCCCTCTTGGTAGGATCAAGAAGCAAGGCAGCGGAGTGAGGTCCAGATGGTATCTCAGGTCATAGAGAACGGTGGCAGGCACAAAAGGCACAGTGCAGATTTGGGGGCTCCCTGACTTAAATGGCAGCTACAGCCCTCAGAGACCCCCAGCACCAGCCCCTGTCATAGACAAGGAAGCTGGTCTGGGTGGCTGGTGGGGTCTTGCCCAAGGGCAGTCACCAGGCCACACAGAGGAGCAGCTTGGGCACAGGCCTCCCAGACCCTTCCCGTGTCCCCCTCCCCCAGGCGGGGTGACCACCACTCCTGTTTTGCTCAGGAAAGTCCTGCTTTACACTTCCCAAGTGGTTAGTGCCCACTCTTCCTCTCAGAAATGAACCAGCTTGGGTGATAAATTGTATAGTCACCCCACCCATGGTGACCTAGTTATTGGTTTTTAGCGTACCCTTTAAAAATACAAGCATATATGTGTTTGTGTGTGTGTGCACACACACATAAGTGAACACGAGTGTATGTGCATATTTAGATTCTATACACATACACATCCCTCTCCCCACCTCTAGGTGAGAGGGAGGGCACTAGAC